AGATTGAAGAGAGGCATCCACAAACCAAAGAACATCAAAGGTCGCCAGCAAATCACCAGGAGCTAGAAAGGGGACATGAAATATTCTCCCTCACAGCCTTCAGAACCAACCAGCCCTGTTGGACCATGATGTCAAATTTTTGGCATTCAAAATTTTGAGACAATAAATTTATATTATTGTAAGTCACTCAGTTATGGTTCTTACAGCAGCCCTAGAAAACCAATACTGATGTTATTTGGCCAAAAAACACCAGAAATATTATAACATCTTAGAATGTTACTTTTTCTTTCAGGGTATGAAAGGAATATATAAAATAGAACCATAATTTCTACAAGTATATTTTATATGAATAAATGTTAACCCCAAAGCTCAGAGTACACTTAAATGAGACAAAGTGGATCATGACAAGACCTTTAACCAAAGCTAAACAGAAACTAAGGAAGATATGTGCTTACCTTTCTCACTGAGCTCTTAACTGATTTTTTTTTTAATTTTACAAAGGATTGCAAATAAAACTGGGTTAAGAAAATTCCAAGTCACTTAATATATGCTTTGTAGAAATGAGAAATTGAGGTGGAAAAGGATATGGGAGATTTTTAATTTCAGTTAAAAATCTAGTTTCATGAAAGCAAAATTATGCCATCTGGAATTTAGATTATTTGGAACAATAGGAGAAATTAAAACCATCCCTTCTTTGTGAAAAACTACCTGATGACCCATAAAAGGGACCCTTCTTGGGACTGAAGAAAAGGAAATTTTTACTGACATATTGCTAGAAGAGTAGAGAGAAATGTATCAGTGCAGAAAGACATAGTCCTTTCTTTTATCTAAAGGCAAACAGCATGTAAAATAAAATATTTATAGCTCTTTTAAGAGAGAGTATGAGTTCAGTTATTCTCAAGAAATTTCTGTTATCTTTACAAACTTCTGACTTAAGACAGAATTCATGTGCAATTAAACTGAGCCATTTGAACTCCATGACTCCAATCTGTACATTGAATCAGGAGTCTCTTTCTCAGAGAAGTTAAACTTGGATATTGATGAAGAGGATGATAGATATAACCATAACATTTAATAAAGAATATCTCTGTGCATGGCAGCCTGCTAAGGAGATTTTAAAACCTGTTCTATGAAACATGACTGATTCCTGAAGAGCTGGGATGTTTTTTTCAAAATCAGTATTTCTAAACTATACTACATGTCTGCAGCATCCCTTTCCTTTCAGAGTCCTCCTTAACCAAGATTTACATTTGTTAGGAGATGCTACAAAACATACACTGTATTATTTATTTTCAAACCCACAGTTAGGGGTCAGAAGATGAAAATAAATCCATTTAGGCAAATAGCTAAAAGGTACACAATATAATTGGAAAATGTGTCCAGAAACTTTATTTGATATGAAGTTTTATTACAACTTCTAAAATTCCCTCTGTATCAGAGGATTGAAAGACTAAAAATTACTTTTCCCTTCTTGTCTTCCAGCAGAGTTTTAGTTAGAGTTAGCTGATGAGAAGAACTTGGATGAGATGGAAAGCAGAATGAGCAAAATAATTCTTGGGTGAAAGCTTAGAATAGGCATGTGGCATTTGTACAGGACAAATGTGCAGTTTTACCAAGACTGTTCAGATATGTCTTGAGAACCAAACACTCTGTTTTTAGGAAGTTTCTGTCACCTGTGATGCCTCCCTTGAAATTCTTGCACTTTCCAGTTTTCTGAAAAACAGATACACCCTCCCTATTCTTTGGTCTCCAAGCCCTTCAATTCCAATTATAGTTTAAGATTCAAATTCTTCCTTGAAATACATAGAGTGACTCATGTATGAAGGAAAAATCCTAAGTAAGTCAAAAAGAGACAAAAATAATATGAGGGCAAAAAGTCAACATTGAATTAAAAATTGGTTGGCACATGAAAAAGCATTATTGATTCAAAAAATAATTTTAAAAGACAATAGAGAAAAATTTGTGGGAGCTTCAGATAACAAAATTCCATATTATAAATTTTAAAATAATACTAAAAATAATAATATACAAAAAGAGATAAATCACAAGATGGAGAAGGTTGATCTGAGAATTTGCACTTCTAACAAGTCCTAGGTATTGCTGATGCCACTTATCTGAGAAGTCGCTCTTAGTGTGTGCATCGCCTTTCTGTTGTAGAGGCTGCTATCAGCACTTGCATACCAGGGATGTTTATTCCTGTGTCCATTCTCCAGTTTCCCTGAACTTCAAATCCTTATCATTCACATTACAGTTTCTTCAGATGACTCTACTCAGGCATGGAAAGAACCAAGATTACCTAGGAAATGTTGTCCCTTCAGAGGAGTTTATATTCAATGACAGATTGGTAAAGAAATAGAACCTTGTAGGTCTTCTTTGAAGTAGGACAAAAACCATGGTGTAATTTATGTGTCAAAGCTTCCTGTGGTATCAGACTTACATGGGAATTTGACCTGAAATGATATCCTTGCTTTGCTCCTTTCTCTTTCTTAACCTGCTTCTTCCCTGCTCTTTGTTTCTCTATGGCTAAATTCTATAATAGATCAAGCGTACTTGTACCTGAAAACTCCATAATCTGTATGGCTAGTGGCTACACTTTTTGACAGTATGGCTTCTACAATAATACATAGAATTTCATTGGAAAGTGCTGTTCCAGAGGCCTTCATTGACTTTATCTTCCTACAATGAAAGTTTATATATAGTCTGATTACATTATTTGAATTAGAGATAGTAATAATCAGGGGTTACGTTTACTTTTCTTAAGGTATTTTATTTGTGCTTTGCCCTTATTCTTATAATGTATCCCATATGAGGTCTCAGATAAAGTCTTTTAACTCTAATCTTTGTGTTCCTAGTAGAAATAAATTGTTGAAGGTTCTTAGTTTCATTGCTTCTTAGCCTCATGCACAGTCTAAGAAAAAATAAATCCTTTGGTGAGACGACACAGAGCAGATTTTGACCTCATTTCTCTGAAGTTCTTTTTTTCTACATGCTCTGGTTCTCTCAAGTTGTGACTGTCTTTGTACTGCTAAACTTTGACTTTATTTTCCAATTCACATGAATCTTCCAAAGACTCTGTTCAAGAATTCTATTTAGTTGCTCAGCCCACTGAAAAATAAGTACAAATTGAAGGGAAAAAAAACCTTCAGAGAAGGTTGAACTCACTTGTCTATCCTTGTCCTCTCTGATATCCTTGTTTTTCAATTCCTGGCTGCCTTGTATATTCTTCTATGCCTTTATTTATAGCTGAATTACAATAAATCTACATTCTTTTTTTTTTCCCGCCCCTCATTCTTATTTGGATTCTAAGGCTCTAGCTGGATTCTTTCACCCTTTGAATAATCCTCAGGTGTTGTTTCTGCAAATATTCAGCCTTATTTTCTCTCTCTTATTGTTCAGTCTCCAGTTAACTAGATTAGACCACATGACTATAACTATGTATTATCCTCTCTCCTTTAACTGGTATTTATTTTTAACCTCTTATATTCATTCTGGATATTTTCTTCAAACCTATCTTCTGGATCATTATTCTCTCTTCAGCTTAGTATATTCTTTTGCTAAATCCATTTATTTTATCTATTTATATACTTTTTTAGTTCTCTGCCAAATTCTTCTATCTTATTTTCTATCTTCTTGAACATGTTAAGCATTTTCTGCATAATTACATTTTCTGGGTCTCTTCCAGGTCTATTTTTATTTTTTGTTGTGTTTTTGCTTTGTAATAATAATGAGTTTTGTTTCCTTCCAAATAAAGACTAAAGTAATAGTGAATACCATATATAAGAATTGTAGAAATATTTTGAGGAGTGTAAATATTTTACATCCTGTAAACACGATGTTCATTTACTTTTATTGTGTGTCAAGGGCAATAGCAACCCCAGACAACTTAATCTGTTTATAAAAGATTGGATTATTTAAAGCAGGGCTGCAGTTCTTGAACATGTCAATATTTCTGATTCATTCTCGCCTGTATAACTTACCATTTTATGGTCTTAAGAAAGTATAGTGGTTTTCAAAGCTTCTTCTACTTGCCATTTTCTGTACTCCATTTTTTTTTGTTGTTGTTGTTGTTCTCTATTTCTTCTAGGCTGTCAAACTATCTGTTTAAGTTTTTTATATATCAGCTTCCTCTTCAGAAATTATTAGATGCTTCTAGGGGAAAGTAGCTAAAAATACCAGTGTTACTTATTTTCTTATTTCTATGCATCTTCACTGCTTTATCGGTTCCTGTTTCCATTTAATGAGTTTAAAAAACAAAACAAAATAAAAAAATTTCCCATCTTTCTAGCTATACTTAGCAGGGAGGTTGCTCCAAATTATTTAGGTAACTATCTGATTATGAGTAGCTGCAAGCATGACTTTACTACAAACTACTTTTCTTCTAAACCAAAAAATAAACGCTATGTGTAACTTAAAAACATGTAAAAAAAAATAATTAAGTTAGGGCCTTAGTAGACATACACATGCATTAAATGGTTTATGATAAATGGCTTACAAAAATGTTTTTCTCTGAATTGCACTTATATCATCAACATCTGGAATATCATTTTTTGTCTTCTATGTATTATAGTTGCTATAGGCTGGTGCTATAGTCATGTCAGCATCATCACAATATTTTATTAGCTATATCTGGCAAGACAAACTAATTATGATATAGGTGACATCTCTGTCACATTTGTTCAAAGATTAGACTTAATATTATAATCTTGCTTAGATATATGTATAGCTATGATTTTTCTACTCTATGTAGCTAAGCATATTGTGGTTGTATTGTTTAGGAGTCTAGACTTAAAAAAATATCTAAAAGACTCTAAAATTTTACTGGCTTCAAAAATATAATTGTGTAATTTTCCCAGGTAATGGTCCTAAGTGACAGTTTGGACTAGATGACAATCTCTCTCTCTCCTCTAAGTACTAACTCAGTGACAGTGGCTATTTACCTCTGAGGGTCCACCATCTCTTAGAACTTTGTCGTCAGATATTGCATCTAGCAAAAGTAAGAAATCTCTTCTCAGCCTTTCGCTAAGATCAAGTATAGTATCCGTTCTTATCAGCTTAATATCTTAAATATTCTCCCTCTGAGGACAATATTAAATGGATTGTTGAAAATAGGAAATGGAACATGAGCTTGTTCTGTTTACTCTATACATTAACTGGCATTGCAGTACTGCCAGGAAGAGAGAGAGAGAGAGAGAGAAGAAAGAAAGAAAGAAGGGAAGGAAGGAAGGAAGGAAGGAAGGAAGGAAGGAAGGAAGGAAGGAAGGAAGGAAGGAAGGAAGGAGGGAAGGGAGAGAGAGAAAGAAAGAAAAAGGACAAAGGAAAAGGCTAGACAAAGAAGCAAAAAGAAAAAAATAATGACTACTACTCACATGATATCACTACAATTACAACTCAGATTTTCTATCTACAGGGAATATAGGAAATGCTACATTCCCAGAGAAAAGAGGAAAAAGGCATCAGTGAATATCTGACAGTTTCTGATCCAATGGTAAAAACACCTTCGTTTGTAAACAGGCATACTCTTGTCTTCTGGGAACAAAATGCTTCCTTTTTTTGCTTCCCCTAAAAGGGAATGAGTAAAGAATAAAATAATAAAGGTTAGATGCTATAGACATCTTTCTTTCTGTTAAATGCAGAATTCTAGGTTGACTCTGCAATAACACAGACATGCAAATCAATACAACAACAAAATAATGCTATTGTCCTATATAGCTTTTCTCTTCCATGCACTATGTATTATACATTTTCACTGCTAGTAATATAAAATGAAGTTCAATAACTTAAATGTTTTGCTCTTCTGTTACTTAATTTCTAAACTGTATGTATTGTGAAAGCAGTACATATAAATGAAGGAACAATGTAGAAAAATCTTGCAAAATCTCAAGAAAGCAACATTGTTAAGATAATTCATTAAACAAACAATGTCCATTTTTAGACCACAATGAGGTAAAATTAGAAATCAATACAGGGAAGATAAGATAAAAAAATTGAAAAGTACATGGAGATTAAACAACACACTTCTACATAACATATGTGTCAAAGAAGAACTCTCAGGATAAATTTGAAAATATTTTGAACTAAATATAAATAAAAGTAAAATTTATCAAAATCTGTGGTCTATAATAAAATGATGCTTACAAATTTCTAGATTTGAATACAAAATAGAAATAATAAACATCTAAAATCAATAATAGAAGGCATTCCCTTAGGAAACTAGAAAAATGATAGTAAATTAAATCTAAAGTAAGTAGAATAAATATTAAATAGAAAATAATAAAAGACAGATGTTCAATAGAAAAAAAATCAATGAAACCCAAAACTGCTTCTTTGAAAAAAATCAATAAAATTAATAATCCCTTTGTCAGGTTAATGAGAGAGAAAGAAAACAAATTACATCTGAAATGAAAGAGGGGTTATTACTACAAAATTAACGATATGAACAACTCTATGATCACAAATTTGAAAAATTATATGAAATGGGCCAATTTGTTAATAGACACAATCTGCCAATGCAGACAAGAAGAAACTGACCATCTAAATAGGCCCGGAATTATTTCTTAAACAAATAATAAGGTTTAAAAACAGAAAGTGCCAGGCCCAAATAGGTTTATTAGTGAATTTTAATAAGGATTTAAGAAAAAAAATATTCTAAATTCTTACAATGCCTTTCAGATTATAGAATCAAAGGGAATACTTCCTAACTCATTCTATGAGGCCAGCATTATATTTTTCATAAACATAGATGGAAGAATTCTCTACATAATACAAAAAGCTTAAGTCAAATAACATGTAGAAAGAATTATACATCACAACCAAGTGAGATATATCCAGGTAGGCAAAATTCAAAAATCAATATATAACGCATCACAACAGAATAAAGATGAAAAAATAATCATATCAATAGATGCAGAAAAAGCACTTCACAAATTCAGTATCCATTCATTATAAAACAGAAAACCTCTTAGTAACCTACTAATGGACAAGAACTTTCTCAACGTGTATTCATAACGAAACCAATAGCTAACCTTATACTTAATGATGAGGAAGTTAAACTTTTCTCACTAAGAAAAGACCAATAAAGATTACCTTTGTCACCACTAATTTTCAACATTATACTGCAAGTCCTAGCCAATGCAATAATACAGAAAAAGGAAGTAAAACATATACAGGTTGAGAAGGCAGAAATGAAAATATCTGCTCAAATATGACATGATTATGTAGAAAATTAAAAGAATAAAAAAATCTGCAACTTACAAGTGAATATAGCAAGGTGATATGATACAAAGCTAATATACAAAAGCCAATGCTTTTTTTATAAACTAACAATAAACAAGTATATTTTGAAAGTAAAAACACAATACCATCGACATTAGTGCCTCCTAAAATGAAATACTTAGATATAAATATAACAAAGTATGTGTAAGGTCTATATCAGGAAAATTACAACATTGATAAAAGAAATGAAAGATAAACTAAATAAATGGAAAGATATCCCATGTTCATGAATAAGAAAAGATATAGTCAAAATATAAGTTCCTTCCAACTTGATCTACAGACTTAATAGAATGTCAGTAAAAAATCCAAGAAAATTATTTTGTGGTCATTGATTTTGTAAATTTTGTATGAAGAAGCAAAAAATTGAGTATGGCCAACAAAATATGAAGAAGAATTTGGAGTACTGACACTCCCTGACTTCAAGACTTAATTTAAACCTACAGTAACCAAGACAGTGTGATAGGCAAAAATATAGACAATTTGGTCATACATAGAATGGAGAACTTAGAAACAGACCTACATAACGATAGTCAACTTATTAAAAAAGATGTAATACAATGAGGGAAAGATAGTTATTTCAACATATGGTACGGAAAGAACTGGATGTAACATGCAGAAAAAATTAAATTAGACCCAGCCCTTATATCTTTCACAAAAACTAAAATGGATTATAGACACAAATGTAAAGTGTAAAACTGTAGAACTCCTAGAAGATAACAGAGAAAAAAAAAACTTAGATGACCTTGGACACACTGATGACTTCTTAGATATAACACCAAAGGCAAACTACATTTAAAAACAATTAATAAGATGGACTTCACTAAAATTAAAAACTTCTGCTTTGCAAAAGATGATGTCAAGAAAATGAGAAGATAAGCCACAGGTTGAGAGATAATAGTTGAAAAAGACACAACTGCTAAAGGATTACTATTCAAAACACACAAAGAACTTTTAAAACTCAAAATAAGAAAACAAACAACTCAATTATAAAATAAGGAAACAAACAACTTAATTATAAAATGGGTCAAAAATTTATCCAGGCATGGTGGCACCTGCCTGTGGTCCCAACTACTCAGAAGACTTGAGCCTGGCAGGTTGAGGGTAATGTGAGCCATTATTGTGCCATGGCATTCCAGCCTGGGCAACAGTGCAAGATCCTTTCTCAAAAATAGAAAATATAAAAATAAAAAAAATTAAGAAAAACATAAAAAGATTAAAAATAGGCCAAAGGCCTTAACAAGACACCTTACCAAAAAACATATGCAGATGGAAAGTAAGCATTCAAGAAGATTGTTACATCAGGGAACTGCAAACTGAAACAAGGAATATTACTACATGGGTATTAAAAACACTACAATCCAGAATACTGATAAAACCAAAAGCTGGTAAAGATGTAGAGCAATAGTAACTCTCATGCATTGATGATGAGAAAGCAAATCCCAGAAAATTATTTTGTGGATATTGTGCCACGGCGTTCCAGCCTGGGCAACAGTGCAAGACCCTTTCCCAAAAACAGGAAATATAAATGGTAGAGCCACTTTAGAAGACAATTTGAAAGTTTCTTACAAAACTAAACTTGGTATGATCTAATAGTTGTGTTTTTTGATACTTATCTAAAGTTGAAAACAAATGTCTACACAAAAGCCCACACATAGAGGTAAACCCTTATTTATTACTGCCAAAATTTGGAAGCAATAAAGACATTCTTTAGTAGGTAAATGGATAATAAACTCTGGTACATCCAGACAATAAAATATTAATCAATGTTATAAAGAAATGGGCTATCAAACCATAGAAAAGACATAAAGAAATCTTAATGCATGTTACTAAGTAAAAGAACTGAATTTGAAAAGATTATATATTATTCAGTGTTCTCTAGAGGGATGGAATTATTAGGATATATATATGGAATTTATTAAGTATATCAACTCACATGATCACAAATTCTCACATAGGTTGTTGCAAGGTGAGGAGCAAGGAAGACAGTCTGAGTCCCAAAGATGAAGAATTTGGAGTCCTATGTACTGGGGCAGGATGCATCCAGCATGGGGGAAAGATGTAGGCCGGTAGCCTAAGCCAGTGTAGACTTTTCAGGTTTTTCTGCCTGCTTTATATCCTGTCCATACTGGCAGCTGATTAGATGGTACCCACTCAGATTAAGGGTGGGTCTGCCTTTCCCAGTCCACTGACTCTAATGTTAATCTCCTTTGGCAACACCTTCACAGACACACCCAGGATCAATACTTTGCATCCTACAATCTCATGGAGTTGACACTCAGTATTAACCATCACAGGCTACCTACTATATGATTCCAAATATGACATTTTGGAAAAGGCAAAACCATGGTGACAGTGATAGAATTGGTGTTTGTCAAGGGTTGAAGCGGGTGAAGACTGGATAAACAGTGGAGACACAGCAGGTTTTAGGGCAGTAATAATACCATTTTTGGTACTATAATGGTAGATACACACTATTATACATGTGTCAAAACCCATAGAATATACACTACCAAGAGTAAATCCTGAAGTAAACCAGTGGGTCTGGGTGATAACGATATGCCAATGAATGTTCCTCAGCTATAACTAAATATCATTCTGTTTAGGAATGTTGATAATGGGGAATTGGGGATGTAAGTGCATGTGTAAAAGTGGGAGATAAATGGCAATCTCTACATTTTACTATGAACCTAAAACTGCTCTAAAAACAATAAAGTCTAAAATAAAGCAAAATAAAATGTTGAAAGCAAAATATATAGTAGCAGAAATGAGTAACAAAACCATTTGTAAATTTCTCTTAATAATTTTAATATTAGTCAAAGTTTTAGGTATGCAACCAAAATTCAGTAAAATGGGATCGTTTTTGACTCAGCTATACATTTCCAATATATTCTTAAAATTGATTCGTTTCTCTTACT